TTTTTAGTACTTTCTCGAAGTAGGAGTTATTATCTTTCAAACACGACTTCTTATGAAGAGAACATTCTGTAAATGTCTTTTTTGTCTCTAACATCCACTTCTAATGTATTTCAAATAAAGCAGGTGGATGTGTGTAGTAGGTTATCTGCATATAGTAGAGTAGATTGTGCACGCATCATATATGTCGTATCTCTTATCATTACCATTGGGTACAGTATAACTTACACATTTAGCATAACTCTCTTAGACGCTTTGACTTGTAAGTTGTTTGGTGTTATGTCTTAGTTGTTTTGCGTTTCTTATAACCCTAAGTGTTTTCCTAAGGCTTTTTCTATGTCATTGGATGATTGGAGATTTTGTTCCTAGCACTTATGCTTCTGCCTATCCTATTCTTCTAGTTAAGCATTTTCATATTCTTATCTCATTTAATGTTATTTGATTAAACTTCAAAACATGAGAGTGTTTAGACATATAAATCTTATAGATGATTTTGTCTTTAACATACCCCAATTCAACATCATAAGGTAAGTTAACACATAGTTATACTTCACCACTGCACCAAAACATAACTAGCATCTACAAACATTTTGGAAAGGAATCCCTCCACCTTCCCAAGTGGACTTGTGTGGGTCCATCGGATTCCTATAGCTAACCCCTTTTTTCAAGTCTGCACCTAGGCACATGATAATTGCATGAAATATATATTCCTACACACACATATGGTCCTACACCTATTAAATTCTCATGTACTCAAGTCTCTCAATCCTACCCAACTTACACCCAAACCCAAACAAAATTTGGTTTCCCACTTAAGCCTAACCACACTAGGTTCCATCCGAAACCCCAACACACTTTCCCACCATTTTATTCTCACTCCCTCATCACATTTAATCAATTTTTCTCATTGACACCTAATATGTACCTTTCGGCTCTCCTAGGATTGCATGACAACGACTTAAGTCTAGACATGCGCTTCATGCATCACACTCACAGTTCATGCCTCTCATAGTACATCTATTGATATAACAACCAAAAAATTACAAGTCATGCAAGGCAAGTCATTATGGCTTTTAAAAACCCCAATAGGTTCTATAGTCTCATACACTACATAGTTTAACAACATCCACCCTTTCAACCCATGCAAAGCATATTAGAATGACAACAAAACCCCAACACGTACAACGAACCATCCCCAGCCAATAACTTGTGTAGACCAACAACACCTGCTCTCCCTAGAACTCAAGTATGCTTTGTTTTATACAATAGGTTGCTATCACCAGACCTTTCGGCATGCCCTCAACACCCAGGAAAACTCACTTAAATAACTTAGATATAGTATCCACACCACTCTTATATTCACGTCACTCACCCTTACCTAGTCTACGGGCACCTTGATAGCGTATGACTCATACTCATCTGAAATCACTCCCCTTCAGGTGAATGTATATTATAGAAAGAATAGAATAGTGACCCTTAATTGCATTCTCACAACACCCCGAACTCGAAGAGATAAGCCTTACATGCAACACTTTCATGAACAAAAGACTTACGTTGTTATAGAACTATATGTGTATATAAAGGCACATTTATTCTACCTACATGCAAACCCCAACCCCACTCCTACATGTGTTCCCTCTGTAGTCGTACAACATCAACATTTTGAGTAAAAATCCTAGTCCATACTTCATGAGAAATCGTACTCCTAAGCACCACCTCATGGGAAAAGGCTGCAATCTCAAAACATTACACTCATAGGGAAGGACCCTAAAACCCTACAACAACCCAAATTTAAACTTGTCTCGGTGCACCCTGGTTTACTCTTAGAGCATAAAAAATATGTTGGAACCTAAAACACAGTTCAATCAAGATGCTTAAATCGAAACCAATGTGCACCAAAATGTTGAAACGAAAACAATGTTCAACAAATGCAACAAACATTCAAGAATTCTGGACAAAATTACAACTCTACAATAAGCGGGTTACGCCATTCAATCCATAGAGTTTACATAGAATTAATGGGATCACAAGACATACACATTATGTGCAATCACAACATATAGGGTTAGCTCCCCTTACCTTCACTCTAAGCTAACACTCTACCTCTTTTTTTTTTATTCACATGTTGCCCAACTACTCCCTTGTTATAGAAACAATTATCTTTTCTCCTCTATACACAATCATCATTGTCTCCTCCTCTCCTCTTCAAATCCTCTCCAATATTTATATCTTTTCAAGACCTTAACCCTTAAAAAAATTCACTCATGTGTTTTATCTTTTTTTCCCTTTATCTTTTCTTCTTTTTATCTTTAAAATCATTAGATATATATACACATATATACCATTATTGTTTCAGAAAAAAAAAATCGTTTACATGAACCCATATATCCCATATCCACTTCTATTTTTCTGTTATTACTTTAAGTAAGAAAAATAACCCCTCTTCAAGACTCTGCATGCATGTAACACCCACTCTATCTTTTTGAAACCCTTTTTGCATGCAACAAAATCACTTTTTTCCTTTCTCTCTCTACAACTACTCTTCACTCACATGTTATTCCAATATTCATAAGGTCATGGCACTACTCTTCCACCAAACTAAAAACCAATACAACTGTTGGTCCGACCCGCATCACCTCAAAAATAAAATCAGATGTATTTAGCCCAACAACAATTTAAACCATGGCCATGCAATATCAATAAAACCACCCAACCACTAGGCTACCAACTTTCCATTAATACATGCACAGAAAAATACCCATATATATTACACCAAACGTACCATATATAAACAAAACAATAAATAATAAACTTTAAGTTAATCTATCCACTATCAATTTTAACACAAATCCACATAAGACTAATTTATTTTATTTTATTATTTTTTTAAGGTTTTACCCCAACAACCAAACCTCTCTTAACTCTTTGCCAAATTCAATTTTAACTCTCGCTTAGTGACCCTTTCCCTTGCCCGATGATTCAGGCCTTGAGAGCTTATTTAATCATGCTCGCCCAACAAGTTCTGACTCACCATGACCAAAAGGTTCTTATGTTCTCTGTAATTTTATTTTTAAAGCTCCTCAATGAAAGTTTTGCTTGCCCAACGAGTCTACATAAACCAGACACAAAAGTTTGCATAACACTCAATAAGTTCAATCCAAACTTTACAAACATCAACCAAATAAAGAATTTCTAGCATACCAATTCACAATTCAAATCATAGATTATCGGACACTCAATTTAGATACTCAATCCGCACTCAATTTAGATACTTCTCTTGGACTGCGGTTTGAATTATTCCAAAAAAGCAATAATTTTTAGGTGTTGATGATCATTCAGACATAAACCTTCACTTTTGTTTCGTGTCTACTTAACTACTCATCTTTCACAATGAGGTGAATTATTTTTTCTGTAAATATAGGATTTATTATATAACCGCTCATATTTCATAATTATATAACCTTTAATATTCCATAATTATATGATTGTAATATTCCTCAATTATATTATCCTTAATATTCCATAAGTATACATCCTTTTAAATCTGTACCAAACTCCTCATATCAAAATGCAAACTGTATATTATATTAAAATATCTCTACAACATTGATTTGTGAAGGACAAAAAGTCTTTCCAAGGCTTGACATAATAAGTGTCAAGTAGTTGTCTATGTGAAACAAACTTTAACTCGTTTTTCTAAGAAATTGTTAATGTGACAAAGTTTTATGAATCTTTTTAGTAGATAAAGAAAACAATCATTCTCTACAACGTAGAATAAACATAACGATATTTGTGAATATTATATTAATTTAAGGTCATACACTTGTCATCTAAGCAAACACTTTGCTTGTCAAAGGTAAAAAGGACTACACAATTTTGCATCGCCTAATAGATAACATTTGCATCTTACATGATTTGATATGAAAGAAAACATGGTCTAAAAAATTATAGTTTAATCGCATCTTGTACTTTATTGTTTGTATAGCACTTAATCAAAACATAAACTATTAAACTTTTCTCCAAAAACATCCAAACGTGAACTCACTGAGGAGGGCACAATGAAGATTAATGGAGGTTGAAAGTTATAAAATAAAAAAGATAAAATAGACATTTAAAAAAATAGAGGTGCATGAGGAAATTATTGGGGTGCATTTCCGTCCATTTCATCATCATCAATTTGAAAACACTGAATAGATTGGAAAGGAATAATACCGTCCTTGTAGAATAAAACAAGTCAGTTGTACATGCTTGTAACATTGTTCTATGATGTCTATTAAAACAAACAATTAAGAATGAGATTCTGTTATCAAAACGGGAAAAAACGAAATGAAAAGTTAGAAGAAAGAAAGATAAAATAAATAAAAATTAACTAGGATTCAAGAAATCAAACTAAGTTAGAAAAGAGAGTATGGTTCCCTTTTAAAGCTCAAATTTACCTTTACATTTCGATGAGAAATTTAAAAAGTAATTTATTTTGGGAAATTAAAAATGAGAGGTATATTGCTGGAATGAGAAGTTTATGAAAATAACTAATTTTTAAACTTCTGAAATCGTTTTATTTATTTAAAATTTTAAAAGAAAACCTTGATAAATAAAACATAATTTAAAAATTTTACGTTCATTGTGACATGTCTTCTAATTTTTTTTCTCAACCCATTCTACTCTCTCATTCTTATGTCCCGTCTCTCTCCTCTCTCTCTCTCAATCTTAAATTATAAACTTTTTTAATATTCAAGTTATTTTTCAATTATTAAATATTTAAAAATTACATAATATTTATTAATAGTAAAATTTAATCTTAAAACTTTAAATTATTTAAACAAACATTATTTTTTTGCACAAGACAAATTGAGTTGGCTAAAACATTTAGAAAAAGAAAATTATTAAATTAAAACAAATAACCCAATCCATTAGACTGATTTCCCAACTCAACGCGAGGTTCAACAATTATAAACAAGCAATGCTCAAGGATTTGTAACTTGTAACAACTCCAAAATGTCAAATGAAGTTTTGAACTGAGTCATGCTCATATTGATTTGTAACAAATTCAATATGAACATTCCCAATATGTATGTAAAATGAGTCATACTGATGCATTGTACTACAATGTCACCGTAGCCTACTGAACTTTATAAATTGTGAAAACAGAGACCGCACAAAATTTCATTTCTGTGAAGTTACGCCACTTTATGCGTTTTAATTAACATTCTCTTTACTCTGGGCATGAAACCTCCCTCTCAGGCAAACTTCACGAACCGAAGGGATTTACAATATTATATATTATAATATAACAACAGAATTTTGTTAGTCCTGAAAAGATCACCAGACGATGCTCTTGATCAGAAGACTCAGATGGACTTAAATTAGAAAATGCTGAAGCAGAGTCTCTCAAACCGAGATGCCATAGTTGCTAATTTTGGAGATCTCCTTGGTCAAGGTACTTTTTTCTTTCTTTGCCTCAGAAGCAAGTTGGGAAACCTGTCAACCAGACAATACAAAATTTAAATCACTAAAAGCAAAGTCTGTTGATACTCTATTCCTTAATAGCTGTTATTAGTCGCAACACTCCGTATAAGAAATGTGTTATATTAACATCAACTACAAGTGATGGCTCAGTATGACAGCAAAGGAGTAGTTCATTTTTCAACCTAAGTTATTATTCCAAATTTTCAGCCTAAACCCAGCAGACGCTCAAACACTTGTCTGTCAAGAATTTTTTAATGGACCAAACAAGAAGCAGAAAGCTAGGAAGGTTAACGACAACCATGAGACCAAGTAAAGTTCAAGGAAATCATCCTTTTCAATTACAAAACATTATACAGAAATATAACATCCATTATGAAGCAGATATAAATTAATACCAAAGGTGGAGGGTCAATAGAAGACAAGAAACATGCAATACCTCCAAAAGAAAAAGTGTGATTCCACCATATAAGTGCAGAAGCGATTATCACACCAACTTGCATTTCTCAAACCGTGGAAATTTAGAGTCCATGGATACTTGATTTGGGTGCTTCTCATCATATTTTCGGTATAATTCCCTCATTCTTCCATTTCGTCTCCGAGAGTTCCTCATTTTCTTACTTTAGCCAATGGTCCAAAATTGCTTTCCAGAGAATTGGTCAAGCTTCCATTTCTTCCTTGGATGTAAAAGTGTGTTCTTTTTGTCCCGACTTTTCCTTTTAACCTTATTTCTCTAAGTCAGTTAACTAAGTCATTAAATTATCCAATAAGTTTTTGTGGCAATTTTATTGTTATGAGGGAGTGTGGTATGGGTCAACAAATTAGTAAAAGACATCTCCCAAACTTTTGTATTTTCACTTGGGTCATCCACACTTATCAATATTGAAGAAAATGTTTCCTATCCTAAGCAAACTTCAACTCCTATAGTATGGGGCATGTTTGGAAAGAAAATTTGTTAGACTTTAGTAAACTCGGATCGTAAATATTAAAATATTTATAAATATTATAATAATTTATTGTTATATGATATTATAAATAATTTTTATATTTTTTTATTGAAGTATTATTATTATTATTATTAGTTAATGATATTATATATTTCTAAATATTTTTTTATATTTCCAAACCATTATTTTTATAATAATTTTAATTAATTATATATAACATATTTAATATAATAAAAAGGTGTCTAAACTTTGGCATCCAAAAACCATCTTTGAGGCCCATATGGTCAACAGAAACTCTAAACTCAAAAATCATCTTCCAAGGCCCTCTGCCTTACCAGCCACCGCAACAGTAAAGCAGCATAGGAAGATCCATAAAACAAACCACCAATGTGATGGCGACCAATGGCGATGATGGGTAACGGTAACCTTGGGCAACCTTGTGCGACAGCAACGCATGGCCAAACAGCACAGATAGTGAGCAACAGTGACACAATGTGACAATGAGATGGATTCGCAAGAGACCAAGGAAGCAAAAAACCAGGACAAAAGAGACCATGTCTAAAACCCTAATCTGGAAAATGAGCCTTAAAATGATTTTCTTTTGCGAAAAAAAAAATTGCTATAGTCGAACTTACCAAATCAAGAGCAAACTCACGAGTTCAATCGATTCCACTAATTCCACCTCTGATCCCACGATTCTATTCCAAAACCGAGTTTGCTTCCGAGTTAACTCGAAAGCAGTGAGTGAACATGTAAACTTGTCCGATTTAATGATATAAAAGAGTGTTTCATTCACACTTTTAGGAATAGTAATAAAAGACAAAAAATGGTATAAAAGAGACATCTTGTGATAGCTAAGACAAACTTGATGAAGACGATTCACCTGGGAGCATTGGACTAGTCATTTTGGAACCTACTTGATGGAATAAACATCTTGGACATACGAGGAGAAGAAAAGAGTTTGTACAAAAAATGTATTAGCATACATATTGTACTTATTGGTTTTTGGAGAGTAAAAACAATACCCGTTTTGAAGTCGAGAATAGCCCAAGAATACACATTTAACCACATTGGCAAAGAGTTTATCCAACCATAGAGATAAATAATAACCAAAACCTACACAACAAAAAACGTGGGGGAAACATAAGGAGATGATCATTTGGGAAGAAAAAATGGGATAAGGAACTTTATTGTTGAAGAAAAGGACATTCTATTAATAAGAATACAAACTTTTTAAGATATCATCACCATAATGATGAACCGATATATTGGCACCAAGCAATTAGGTACGAGCAATCTGAACTAAGTGTCTGCTTTTTCTCTCTACAATACCATTTTATTGAGGTGTGTAAAAACAAGTAAACTGGTATAAAATGTCATGTGAACTTAAAACTGCTGAGAAATTATAATTACTTGGCCAAATTGACTTTTGTTTTCATTCAAAAAAAGAATGTAATGATAGCCGGTAGTTTAGAATGATCTTTCATAAGATATATCAAAGTATATTTGGAATATATATCAATGAAAGTAACAAAATATGTAAAAATAGAAGATTAAACACAACTTGATCCCCAACTATCTGAACGAGTGACTAAAACCATAATTACATCTTGATTAAGACTTTTTAGGGAAAGAAGATCTAGCATGTTTTCCTAGCTAACATCACATTCTAAAATTTGAAGACTATGAAGTGCAATGATCATTTTTTAATTTTGACAAGTGAAGATGTCTCAAACGATCATGTAAAAGTTTAGCAATTGCAAATGAAAAATAAGATATGTGTGGCTATGAGAATTACAAGGGATGTCGAGGAGGCCCAGGGCAGGACAAAGGCTGGGATTGGAGCGTGACAAAGAACCCATCGTCTTTGGAACGAACGAACGGTGAGGAGACACGGCCTGGGGCAAATCGCTATAAGCCAAGCCGATCGAGAGTCGCCGAGCGGTCCGGAGCCAATCACTATCACCCAGGCTGATCGGGAGACGCCAAGAGTGTGGGGTCAGTACGGAAGGAGGGTAGTGATAATAATGGGAGAAACACCAGGAATATGCCTTATTCAGAATCCCTAAAACGGAGAGAGGAGAGAAGGTGTATCAGGTGTGGGGGACCGTTCGGTCCTGGTCACCACTGCTCGGACAAGAGCTTGAGAGTCGTGATATTGGCGGATGACGAGGAGGAATTGCCACCACCCAAACCCCCAAACTTTAATTGAAGAGGAGCCATGAGATCAAGCTCCCCCGGTTCCAACCTTGAGGACAAGATTGTTCTGCAGCGGAGTGTAATGATATGATACTAGGTGATAGGATAGAAGGCAGGGGAGTCGAACATTAGGAGGTAGGGGAGCCGAACGGTAGGAGGCGAGGGGAAGCAAGCCGAACGGTGGAAGGCGGTGAAGAGCTGAAGCCGATCGGTTGAAGAGTGACCATCCTAACTGGGACAGCGGTTAGGATAGGCGGAAAATATTTAGAAATAATTATAGTAAATAAGGCCATATCCTAGGGAAATATTCAGTATAAGTTAATTATAGTAAATAAGGCTATATCCTAGGAAGTTAATTATAGTAAATAGAATTATATCCTAGAAAAATATTCAGTATAAGTTAATTATAGTAAATAGAATTATATTCTAGGGAAATATTTAATATAAATAAAGCTAGATGCTATTGTTTAGGGCATGCTTTTGATTATTGAGTCTTGTGACAAGCGGCTATGCTCTTGTGAGGGAGGTTATGCTCCCAAGTAATTGAAGGAGGTTATGCTCCCAAGTAATTGAAGGAGGTTATGCTCCCAGTTATTGTTTATTATTGTTTATTCACATATTACCATCAATAAAAAAAGATTCATTCATCCATTATCATTAATTCATTGTCTTTTCTACTTATTGTGATCATGTTTAATTACATTTCCTACTCGGATACGTAACACTCACCCTTCAAAATTCTCCAATATGAGGGGTGAGAAAAAATTTCCCTTCCCCTTCCTTGCAAATAACCAAACCAAATAAGGTAAAATTTAGAAAAAAAAAACATTATTGGGTATTTTCATATATGCTAACAAGGAGAAGCCAAACAACCCTAGTTTAGAAGCTATGTAAGACAGAAAAAAAACACAGATGGATTCAAGTGAGGACAGCATGATCAACATATATATGCTTAGGTAAATAGATTGGAACAAACGAGGAGGTCAATGACAGTTACAAGGGCAGCATCTGGGAACACATGCTGAAGAAGTTGTTAATGCAAAAACATGAGGTCTCATTACTAAATGAAGACTGACAAAGCACAATGGGTTAGTCAACTGGAAGATCCTTGGCTGTCCAAGACAACTATCAACTATGCTAAACTGGCACCAATAACAACAGCTGGACAGTTAGACTGTCGGCTAGAGGGAGCTTTGAGTTTTTGAAATGCCAAGCCACCATGAAATGAGCTTTGATATCAACTTAAGAATCAAAATATGTTAGGTTCCTAGATAGAGGAAACCTGGAAAAACCCACTGCAACCACCTATACTCACTGCGTAGAACTATTATTATTGATTCTGAGCACAACTACAGTATGAGAGCAGCCAAGGGACAATGTTCCCTTCACACAGGATGCCAAAGATCCTGTTAACCCTTCTCCAAACTATCAAAAATCGTCCCCTGCACACAAAGACCCCCCAACTATATGTAGGAAGCCTCACTCACCCTAATAACCTACTAACAACTACTTTTTAATATTTTTCCTCCTAACATATACATTACATATCCTATCAAAATATGATAGAGAAAAATGTTTCAAGATTCTCTCAACTTGGATTTATATCACAAATCTATATAAGTAATCCCATGATTTTGGGATTAGGTTAGGTATTTACAGCATGCTTTTTAATCTGAATATGTACTCGTTTTCAATTTTAAAAAGGAAATATGTTAGGTTTCTTGAAACCAGAAATCTGAAAACACACACAGAAACACTGCAACAGCCTTGTTGTATTATTCTTGAAAATACAAGAATAAGAGAGCCCTCTCTCCTCCAAGGGTTTCCCCTTCACAAAGAGCCTAAGCTCAATCTACAAAACTCTCCAAAAAGTCCCCTCCCTAGACAACCCTTTCCCTATTTAAAGACTCCTCCTAATCTGAACATAACACCCCACCAGGACAGTTATCCTACCCCCTGCTTCCTAACTGTCCTAGCAGACCCCCAAACCCCTCTCAACTATATTTTGTTATTGTCTTCCCTTCCTTCTAATGTCCACATTCATATCCTATCAAAATAACAGATGGAAAAAGCTCAACTGATGGGTTTCTGGAAAAGAGACCTATCCAGCCCACTCACACACACCAGCAAACAAGAACTCAGATGGAAAAAAAGATAGTGTTTCTGTATTGCCAAACAAACAATGTACAAGTATAGTGATATCTACGGGAGCCTAATCCCCCTCCACAGGTCAAAGTCCTGTCTTTACAAAAAGAATACTAACTACCCTCAAACAAAAATACAAGAGCTCTATTTATAGCAGCTCATTCCCACCTCTTCCTAACTGTTATTACAGTCAGGCTTCTAAACAACTCCCCCCCTTACCTTTCTAACTTTCTCTACTCTTCCTTCTCCTCTCATAAACCTTCCATACTCTATCATCAACAGATCTAAATAATCACAAGTTGAGTTATGCCCAATCCTATAATTAAACTAATGCCTGATTGGGTCTTGTAAGTATGTATTGAATTCTTATATATTATAGCTACAATTATTTCACGTTAAGAATGTCTAAAATGAAGTTAAAAAAATTTTTACATATTTCATGATGCTATTTCATGGGTTGAGCTCTTGAAAACTTTCATCTAAACCTAAGCAATGAGACACCGGACTCTGCTAATAGAATAATTACCTGTGATCGGAAAAGGGATGCTTCTCTTTTAGGGAGTTCTCCAAGGATATCTTTCAAACCTAGCATACCAAGACCAAGCCAAAACATCAAAACCAAAAGTGAAAGGTCCCTCTACTAACTTATTAGGTTGGGTATCCTTATAAAAGAAATTACAATATTTTGCTTACCATGTGCTCGTCTTTCAACTTTATGTGCTGAGTGAATCACATTCCGGATCTGCTTTCCTGCTTGTCTGTTATTATAAATTAGAAATATTTAAAAATTATTGTTATCAATGCATAAATACAAAACCATTCGGCTCCTCTTCCAAAAGTTGCAAACCTGAGTTTCGTCCTTCCATGTAAGAATTGCTCCTCTGCATGTAATGCACTCTTCTGAAAACAACAAGTATACCATTAATATTTGAACAGAAATACCAGTCAAAGTGACGAGATGATTTAATTTCTTTCTTTAAACCAAAGAATCAAGTCTTTCCAAGAACCAAAGAGAGAAAAATTTGGAAAGAAAGAATGATTTACTGCACTAAAGAACAGAAAGACAAATACACAAGTGTATACCCAAAGGAGCACTCTCCTTCCACACTGGGTTTCCAGTCTATTACACAAAACAGAGAGATAACCCTCCCAGATGGACCAAGAGGGTTTACTTTTACCTGTAGGTTAATCAAACCCCATAACTAACCAAGACCCACAAATCCCTCCTCTTATTCTTTTTTCTAACATATACTTTAAAGTCTGTTTGGGTAGTTCACTCTCTTGCCAAATAGATTATCTCGAATTCATAGGTCAATCCCATGATATTAAAGGGATAGTGTAAAGTCATACTCCCCATAAGAATCTTTAAGAGTATCGCCTTTGTTATGTAGAATGCCAACATTTATCTCAGTCAAATTACTAGGTCAATGAGTCACTACTAAGTCCCTAGCCACATTGCATCAAATTAGCAGGGTACCCTATCTCCTAATCATAATTGTTTTGAGAAGTTAGTGTTGAAATTTCATCAATTGGATATATGGATAAAATACAGTCCCCAAAGAGCTAGGGCAATTCTTACCTCACTAAGCAATTTTGTGGAACTAATTTTGGCCCTAAGATCGAATTCTATCTTGGATCTAGTATAGTAACACTAGCATTGCCATGATTCAGACATCAATGAGACGGCCTCTAGCACCATCATTAGATTGTAATGCACTGTTTAGCCCTGTATTGATTAGAAATATGACCTATATAATATTTATAAAATTTGGAGTATTTTAGGAGAGGATTTTGATGGAAGTGATGAGAAGATGCTTCGGAAAATTGAGGGTTCCACCCATTTGAAAAGGAGGTTATCCATTTCCACCTAGTAATTTTATATGGATGTCAATATCCAAATCTCTTAGCTAAGGCTTTGGTGGATTTTTTCCGTTGATTGTTGATATTATACAAAATGTAAATAGAGTTCAATATTGTATATTTACATTCTAAGGTAATTTGGGTGATAGTAAATCCCGTGTCTTTCTCTTACAAAATACTTTAAGTCTAACTCAACTCAACCATATAAAACTAACTTATTAGGTGAGGATTGACTCCACTTATATATCATATTTTAACACTATTTCTAGTTGATGTGGGACTTGGGTGTTTTCCCAATGCACCCTCACGTGCAACATTATTGGATTTGGTACATGTATAATATAATGAGTGACTCTTAATAGAATCAAGATAAGAAGCTCTGATACCATCTTATAAAGTTGGTTTACTGCAGTTGAGTTTGTGAAAATTTCAGTATATAAATCTCCCTCTCCCTCTCCCTCCCCCTCTCCCTCTCCCTCTCCCTCTCTCTCCCTCTATCATTTCGCTTTTGCTATGATCGCAATTATTGCATGAGTAGATGAGGCTGCAAGTGACGATGAAGCTAGACCTTAAGAGAGTTGGTTGAAGTGGAAGACAAGAGTACTAGATATATGATATAGTATATATATTGTGTAGTGATACTCTCTCTTTTTGCAGTAATATTCAGAGGCTAGTTTCTTTTGAAAAACATAGGACCTTAATTACACTTTATATATATATATATACACACACACACACGCTATGTACTTTGGTGTGACCAGATTTGCTTAATGCCAGTAAATGCAGTAATCTTAAAGATAGTTTTCTACTATTTTTAGGATGTTATAGGTTGCCCTTATTAAATAATTTGAATGTTTTGGTACATTATTAACATTGTTTTGAAAATTCAACAAAAGAAACTAAATAAATTACTTTTATTGGTCTGTGTTTTTATGTAAGAAGATTTTTATATTAAAGACTAGATGGAGTATCTTGTAATAACTACTACAGTTTTTTATTTTTAAAACGCACCCAATAGTGTCTGTTGTTAAAGGAGCTTGTCTCTTCCCAACAATGAGCTAGGACATGTCATTCTTGGATTCAATAATGAGCTAGGACTTGTGATTCCTAGATTTTATCTTTGAAAAGACAATGATATTATTCTACAGAGACCAAACTTCTTTTTGATAGAACAATTGATGTAAATGCATCTTGACCTTCTGAAAATATGCTTGAGTGATAGTTCCACCAGACAGAATGGATTTATAATATAAGAGAATTACAAGGATAATTAATGGCAAATCAATATACAAGAGAACAATAAGATACCACTATAATCTAAGATGCATGGAATCTATATCACAGAAACTGTTAATGCATGAAATATTGAAAATTAAATATTACAAGCTCTGTAAGACTATACTCCCATATCAAATGAGATATAGTTTTACCTCCAACTTTTCACCTTCAGCCTTTAAAAGTTGAATTGATTGTCGCAACTCTTTAACTTCAGCATGGGCTCTAGAAATCATAGACTGCATCCAAAAACAAATGCCAATGGTATAATCGAGGTTACTGTGCAGATTTGCATGGTCTTCAACACATGCATATCATTGGATTTCTAGTGAACAAAATGCGAGCATTTTTCACAACCAAGTGAAAAGAAAATAATGAGTTTTATAACATTCGTTTGTATTACAAATCACAACTCACATTGATGTCCACTTCAATTGATACTAATATTTATAGTAAAAAGATAAGGAACTGAGTATTATGAGATGCCTAAGTCCCACACTGAGTAGTATGGATGCTCAGTTCTTCCCATTTTAGCCAGCTTTTGTGGGTTCCCTAGGTACTTGGGTGTTTCACAATTGATATCAAAATTCTTTGTCAGTGTCTCAAGAAGGAATGTTAGGATATTTATCTTATTTATCATCACTATATTATGTCAAGGATTACCCTATTTATCATTATTATATTGTGTCTATGGTTACCCTATTTATCATTATTATATTGTGTCTAGGGTTACCCTATTTATCATGTACTCTTATATCAATTTATTTTTATAAATAAAAAATTATGAGAGGGATCAATCAAGCCCTCTAGAATTATTTTACAGTTTAATTCTCAAGTTGGTATTACAGCGAGTCGATCCCGTTCTAGTTTCTGTCTCGTAGCATCTGTCTGGCGCCACAGTCCGGCGTCGCTCGCCACCGTCTGCCGCCGGCCACCGCCGCTGACCACCGGCCGTCGTCCGCCGACGTCATAGATTCGTCCGTATAAACCCTTAGGGTTTTCTTGTTCCTCGTTGGTACTATTCGTCTTCTTCAGAGATGGTGTCTAGCAGTACTTCCATTTCGAAGACTGAAACTTCCACTTTTAAGTTTTCCGAGGATTAATATCAAGAGTATTTAAGGTTAAAGTCTAACAGCTTGGCACACACATCTCAATCTCCGAGTACATCAATAGCCTACGTTTCTCAATCTATGGAAGGTCAAACTTCATGGGTAATTGACTTAGGTGCTTCTGATCACATTTACGGGAATACCTCTTTGTTCTCATCTATTTCCTTTCGAGAAAAACTTCATTTCATAACCCTTGCAAATGGATCTAAAACTTCCTCCAAAGGAGTCGGTCATGTTTCTTTGTCTCCCTCCCTCAATCCCAACTCTGTCCTTTTTGTTCCTAATTGTCCTTTTAATTTAATTTCCTTAAGCCAGTTGACCAAAATGTTAAATTGTTCAATAACCTTTGATCATAAATCTTTTGTTATAAGGGAGTGTGGTTCGGGGAGACAGATTGGAGAAGGATATGAAGTTGGCGGATTATACCATTTTGGATCTCATCCAAGGGTGTCCTGTGTTGCTGCTCTTAATCCTAAATTGCTACATGATTGACTTGGCCATCCTCATTTGTCCAAATTAAAAAAGATGTGTCTTGAACTTAGTGGTTTCCAAACCTTAGAATGTGAGTCATGTCAATTAGGAAAACATGTTAGAT